TTTACGATGTTTCCATCCAATGTCTTTGCACCCAAAAATTTCACACCTCTTCCACAGGGTTCCAGGGGCTGAATTACTTGGAGGAAATCTCACACCAAAAAGTTAAGAACTTAACCAATTCAAGCAGCCCAAGTTGGTGGCACGTGTCTTATGGGGCTCTGGGCCTACCTAGCATCAAACTACCACTTGGGGCGGAAATGAAAACTCTGCAAGAGGGTCTGAGTAAGAATAACCCAATTTTAAAAAGTGAAAAACGTGATAAACATGACCTTGCTGGTATTCATCCTGTGCTAGTTAGCATATCAGAGTCAATTCGGGGGTAAATTTGTCAACTGGCCAGAATTCGCAGAAGTAATTTGCTTCCCAACTAATTAAATGCAAGCAGACCCCAACGCTGTCTCTCCATACCTTTGTAAAAATAAAATCCAACATGCTTTGAAACAGTCTCCATGAACATAGCATTAATTTTACAGCCAAAACACAACACTGAGGTACCGAATACTGGGTTTAAGTTTAAAGGCTGAGGGGAAACTTAGAAACCACCTTGACTCACTTTACTATGGGAGAAACGACATTTCAGGAAGGACAGTATTTTGAAAATTGCAGTGAAACTGTTTAATGCCTAAATCCGTTATAAGAAGGGAAATTTTCCAACAAAATTTCAGGCCTCTAGTACTTCAGAGGCTAAATCTGGGTGACACAAGGGCAGAAGCAGCCATCCCGGCACTGGCTGCCACCTTCTCCTTCCCACCCCACCCTGGACCAACCACAATGGCCCAATGGAATAGGGAACAGCTGATGACTGCTGAATCAACCAGAGGTAAGTGAGGAGCCTCCTGCATGGATTTAAGTTAGAACCAGAACCTGAGGGGAAAATTACAGTACGAATAGAGTAGTAATCATAATAGTAGGAATGTCGAGCACATAGAGCACGTTAAGAGTTGGGCACTGTGTTTAACACATGCATCCTGACATTTAACCATTTAATTAATCATTTAGCCATTTAACTGTTGCTGTCAGTGCATTTAATCCTTGCAGTTACCCTTTTAAGATGATGTGCTATATTATACTTATTTGATAAGTATACTTATTTGATAAGGAAACAAGGGACAAAGAGGTTCAATACTTAATGCAATTTCCCACAGCTAGTAAGCAGCAGAGCCAAAAGACAAACCTACACAGCCTGATTTCAGAGTAAAAATAATTCATTTCATTGATGGAATTAAACTAGCTACATGGAAACAATACCGAGGACATCAAAACAAACACATTGTATAGCTTTTAAATTAAGAAAGAAAAAAGAACATAAGAACATTCTCCTTGTTTTTCTTCCCTTGTAAATCCTGAGTCCCCAAGTGACAAAATGTACTTTAATCTACGTACAGGAACACGGCAGATGCCCCAAGTGTACCCCATCATTTTTTCCCGCCACCTCATCTGCAAACTAAGCTCTCTTTTTTTCTAGCTCTCTTAGGAGAAGTAAACCTCCACATCCATACAAATTAACTATAGGGCTAAGAACTGAGGCTGCCTACATCCACATGACTTTATTATTTGTGCCAAGAAATTCTTACCCGAAGATAAGGCTATAAATCAGTAAATAACTTCATTGTTTGCTTCAGAAACTTCCCAAAAGTCCATTTGCCCCAACAATAGACTACTCAAACAGTCCACAGTATTCCCTCAACTGGACAAACAACTCACTTATCCAAGAACTGTGTACTTAACAAGACTTGGTTAAGAGCTTTGTCTCACTGTTCCCACTAATCCTAAACTATTAGATCACGAACTTTACCCAGTTTCAATCAGATCAGTGCAAGACCCACCTTAAATCTCTAAAGGTCACACCCAAAACCCTACAATACAGGCCCACTCTCTCTCCCTAGTGAAGTCTGTCAAGACCATCAAGGCGTGTTCTCACTGTACTAAGCAACAGGTTTGCTTGGCTGAAACTATTCTGGACTTCTTTGGGGAAGGTGACAGTCAACAGAAGGAAATGACCCAATTCTATTTCAACTGCTCGTGCATCAACACCACCTTTTTAAAAAATCCCTTCTTCCCTCATACCTATTCTAGACCACAGGTGAAATTAAATACACCGGGAAGTGAGATCCTTATAGAAAAAGATAAACATATGCCAGCACTTGAAAGGGCCCACGTAAATCTAACAATAAATTCAACATGAGGTTTTGAACTACATTTCACTGCAGCCACAATTTAACTCTAAGCTATAGTGGATTAATTACACATTTTAAAATGGTCTAAAAGGATCCCTAAAATTGAGATTTAGAAAGAAAAGAAAAACAAAGGCCTCAAAATGCCAACGTTAAAAGTATTCTGCCATCTGACCAGATTTTACAAAATTTCCTTCAATCAACTCATATGCCTCTAACGTTATGTATCAAATATAAATACATGAAACATAGCCAATCTTTTAAAAAAATAGCTCTAAGAATGATTTAAACCTGTATAAATATAAAATAAATCATTTTGACATCACCATTCATTTAATCACTTTCATTACTTCAGTTATATTTATGCAATTATTAAAGTAAATAACCATATTTACTAGAATCCTATTTTATTCCTGCCTTTCCATGCATCCCACTTTTCCTTAGAAAAAAATAAAACAGTTGCAGACCCAACTGAATGTATTAAGATGCCAAAGGTAAGCTTTTTAATGAAGTTGAAGCTTTTAAACAAGAAGAATTTGTCGCATCATATTAAAATGTGTGTGGGGGGGGTGGGACCTGGGTGGCTCAGTCAGTTAAGCACCTAACTCCTGGTTTTGGCTCTGGTCATCATCTCATGGTTCATGAGTGCCAGCCCCGCGCTGGGTTCCACACTGACAGTGCAGAGACTGTTTGGGGTTCTCTGTCTCTCTGTCCCTCCCCTGCTCATGCTCTCCTTCTCTCTCAAAATAAATAAACTTAAAAAAAAATTTTTTTTTGTAATGTTTATTTATTTTTGAGAGACAGAGCACGAGCAGAGCAAGGGCAGAGAGAGAAGGGGACACAGAATCCGAAACAGGCTCCAGGCTCTGAGCTGTCAGCACAGAGCCCGACGCGGGGCTCGAACTCACGGACCGTGAGATCATGACCGGAGCCGAAGTCGGACGCTTAACCGACTGAGCCACCCAGGCGCCCCAAATAAATAAACTTTAAAAACATAACAATAAAATAAAACATGTGTATTATATATGTATATATGTGCATATTATGTATGTGTATGTGTATACATGTATGTATGTATGTATGTGTACACATATGTGTGTGTGCATATTTGGGTATAAATGTGTGCATGTGTGTGTGTGTGTGTGTGTGTGTGTGTGTGTGTGTGTGTATTCATCCCAAGGTAAGAAATGAATGCAACATAAAGTCCCAATTTTGTTTTTCATAGCCTGTCAACACCAGCCCTTTCAAATAGTATCATTCCTTCCTGTGGAAGTGTTGCTAACCGTGTTACCGTAACCATCTTGCTGTGGAGTCGTATACGTAGAGGAGAGAACGTGGAGGGTAGAAGAGACCAGGTCTGTATCCTAGATTCCCTGCTCTAAATTGGGGGAAATAACTTATTCTCAGATAGCCTCAGTTCACTTATCTGGAAAAGAATGATATATCCACCTACTTGGCATAATTGACATGAAGACGAAAGGAGATAATGTATAAGGTACTCGGTATACAGCCTAGCACATGGTGGAAAGGTCTCCATAAATGTTCGTTACCGATCGTGCATGTTAGCTCCCTATAACTGTGGTCCTAAGGATTTACAAGGTATTAAAGTACTTCCTAAATAATTAAAGAAGTATTAATTATGCAACAAGATCTTTAAGATCTTCATACCCTTTCAACCAATACTTCTATTTCTAGAACACTAGCCAGGGGAAATGACTAGAGATACTGTCAAATATTCATGTACAAAGATATTCTTTAAAACTTTATTGTTAATATCAAAAAACTGGAAACAACCTACGTAGCCAAATATTATACTACATCTCTATGACTGCATGGTGTACAACTATTAAAATATTCGTGAAGAATTAAAAGCATCCAAAATGCTCCCTAAAATTAAAACAATATCCTATGGACATACATTGCAACCATGTTAACAATTACATGTCATTCAACATGTTTAATTTAACAATGCATGTCAACAATTACATGCACACATCCACATATTCAGAAGAAAAGAATTTAGAGGAAATATAAAAGTATTAACAATGTCAAGACAATGGAAAACCAGGTAACTTTTACTGTTTCCTTTTTCACTTTATTTCCAAATTTTCTACTGTATACCCGAATTGCTTTGATACTTGGGGAAAAAAAAAAAAAACTAAAAAAACCCATTCACCTATGTTTATTATTCAGAATATTCTACTTTTTTTAAGGGCAACCTTTTAAATTCTATCCATCTCATTTCCAAAAGAATTGGGAATAGTTCACAAAAATGCACACAACAGAATAAAACAGATGAAGAAAAATAAAGAAAAAAGTTTACACTCTCAGTATATAGCCATATATATATATCTACCTATCTCTGCACGTGTGCACATGTGTATATGTATGTATGTGTACAAATATGTATTTCTGTATTCACAGAACTTTGTTTCATATACTAAGAACTGAAGGAAGTTTCTCCAGCTTTCTCAGGGCATACTGCAGACATTGTTTTAAGACCTATTTCAGTGAATTAAGCAAATCGGTTATGTGGTGGGAGGAGGCGGATTTAAAGTCAAGGAATCAAGATCTTAAGCAGGACAAGCATGGTCACGATCAGCACCTCAAGGAATGCCTTTTTAAAAAAGGTACACATGTGCAGATAAATATAAGTGGAGACAGATTTTTCACTCGTGTTACCTTTACTCACGTGGCTTCAAAGGAAAAAAAATGCTAAAATGATACTTTCATTTCTGCTGTGAAATACATCAAAAAATGAACTAAGAAAATAAGCTCCTATTAACAAAATGTACTTGGATACACTGTATTTAACACAGCACTTACCTTCACTGATAGCATGGGGCTTAATGATGCAACAGGTGCAATTGGTAAATTTAGCGGTGTTCGCAGGTCCACAAACTCCACTCGAAGGAAAAAATAACTCCGTTTCCTAAAGACAAAAAGAAATAACTTTAACTTTGGCATATGTAATCTCTTATCTTGGACTCCTAGAATATTAATGTGAGAGGGGAAAAAAAACGACAGGATTACTTTTAAAGTTTCATAATATAAACTCTTTGCTTCAAATTTTCTAAAAATGACTTTTACAAAGACTGATGAACCGAACCCTGTTTTAAGTCTTGGAATCAAAAGATCATCTAAAAAAAAGTACAATTAAAGTAATGAGGACATGTAGCATTCTGCCTTAGGATTAAAACTAATAACATCTTAACATACTTTGAATATTGGAAGTAATGAATATAAAGTTCTTATTTTCCTCAAAGCATTAGTTCATAGACACAGGTCTGATTTTAAACTTTTTATTAAAATTTGTGAAGTTAAAAACTAGGAATTCTTTGTAGAAACAGATTAGTATTTAAGAATCAGAACTGCGAAATTAGCTTTAACTAATTAGCTTCAACTAATGAACTTACTACAATTCTAGCATACAATTAAATCATATAAGCTTTATTTTATAACCAGATTCAGGCTATGGTATCTGCTTTGTCCATGGTTCCCTTAGATGACAACTCAGCAATCTGAACCAGCCACAAACACAGTCACACTAATTAATTCTTTTAATTATTCAGATAAATGCCTTCCGCCTGAAGCTTTTCCTGCTGTCATTTCCAGCATTCCCCATAAGCCCCTCTGTCCCAAGCTCCAAAGGACTCTACCAACGTGTAAAGGGCCACTTCAAATATCACCGACTCCAGGAGGCCTTCTGTGACGTCCCCAGTCAAAACTGTGGCTATTTGGGCAACTGCCCTTCACAAGTTTTAGATCTGCAGCAAGTAACTAACCTGCATGGCTTTGTAGGTCTTTCAGCACCTAAAACAAATGCCTCAAAGTAAATACTCATTTATCAACGAATTTGAAGATTGCAAGATCACAGGACGTGTTAATGTACTACACATTTTGAAAGCCACAGTACAATGTACTGTGTACATTTTGAAAGCCACAAAGAAGATGTGGACTTGTTCAAACTGGAAAGGAAAGGCCTCCTCTAGAGTTCCCGTTTCTGTGCTTCCTTTGCAACAAAACTCCTCAAAAGGGGGGGTCTTTATTCTCTGTCTTTACTTTTCACCTCCATTCTCTCTTAAGGTGACACTTAGGTTTCATCCCCAAACTGCTCGATGTGACCTCTGCGTTGCCAAGTACTCTGGTTACTTCTCAGCCCTCGCCTCACTGGACCGAGCGGGATTTGACCAGGTGATCTCACTCCATATCCTGCAATGCTTCCATTCATTGACTGTCTTCCTACCTCACTGGCCACTCTGTCTCAGTCTCCTCTGATGGTTTTTGCCCATGCGGCTGACCCCTCCGTGTTGGAGAGCTCCAGGGTCCATCTTCTACCTACGGTCACTCTCTTGATGAGCTCGAGTCCCATGTCTTTAAATGCCATCTGTATTCTGATGGCTCCCACGTTTCTGCCTCCAGTCCAACCTCCTCCCTAAATTTCACACCCATATCTCAGCCACTACCACTTATAGAGGATGCACATTTAAAATGTCCTGATTTCCACTGTCTCCCATAAAATCTGTTCACTCCCACCCTGTTTTCCCATCCTTCCAACTGCACAGGCCAAAGAAAAAAAAAAACTTCGAGTGATCCCTGATTTCTCTCCTTTCCTTAGCCATCCACCCAATCGCTCAGGAAATCCTTTATAACGGGTCCAGCCAGAATCCAACCGCTTCCATATCGGTCACCCCGGTCCATGCCTATCACCGATTCTCCCTCTGACAACTGCTCTAGCCTCCTAACTGCTCTCCCCATTCCAACTTGCCCCCCAGCACACCTACACCCACCTGGCTTGATCTATTCTTAACACTGCAGGCAGCATGAAAACCTGTAAAACACATGCTGCTCCTCGGCACACAACTCTCCAGTAGCCTTTTATCTCATTCGGAATGAATTTTAAAGTTCTAGACATCTACAAGGCCTTTCAGGATCTGGCCCCTAGGCCCCTAGCTGTGCCTTGAGCTAATCATCTGTTTCCACAAAAACATTTAGATTTCCGTCCGGGCACCACTGGCCTCACCCCCTCGCTGTTTGACTAAACACAGCAAACAAGTTCCCACCTCAGAAACTTAGCTTGTGCTCTCCCCTTCCTCCCGGAACACTCTTTCTCTCTGATATCTGCATGGCTCCTCCCTCACTTCCTTCTGATCTCTGCTCAAACCAGAGACGGTGAGGGCTTCCCGACACACATTTATATTTATATATCAATATATTTCACAGCATTCCTCACTTCCACTCAACGCACAATCCTTCCTCCACCCTGGGCTTTTTCTATCCCTTCCCCCGCTTTATTTTCTTCGGAGCACTTACCACCTGACTTGTTTTACGTCTATTTGTTTATTATCTGGCATCCCCTTCACCATCAGATGCAAGCTCCGAGTAGGCCGGGACCTCGTTTTGCACTAGCAGCTTCTCAATGTTAAGAAACGACTGAAATTCAGAAACTAATACATTCTGCAGGTGCTAAGAAATAAGATCGCTCTACCCACGCTGCACACATAAGAAAGCCTTGATTAACGAGCCCTTGCGGGTTAGCAAGGGGCAAAGCCGGTATTCAGACCCAGGTCGCGCTGGTTGCAAAGCCCTGAGCCTTTTCCATCACCTGTCTTTCAAAAGTAAAGAAGCTGTGCTAAACTGTTCCACCTCTAGCTGAACCAATTATTGGGCCAGTTATTTTTGTCTCGACTTTCCTCTTCTCTTCCTCAATTTTTAAAACTGAAAATGCCAGCTTTCCAAGCACTCATTTACATATGCTGAATAAATATGTATTTCAGGCAAGGAATATGAAGGTCTTACTTAAATCTACCTTCTTGGCGAAAGTGAGTTAATTCTACTTTCTGCCTTTGCTTGCTCTTTCTCCCTGCATAGGCTGTCCTATCTGTCCCAGGGATTAATCTAAACGGACATTTGCAAGAGCACTTCTACTAGGTCATTGTTATGGCAACTGATTTAGAGAGTTTACACAACAAATGTGATAGTCGCACAAAAAAATGTTCGCATCCCTTTGTGATCTGAGCTGCTTAAACACTTTACATAAAGCTCCTCTCCTTCCAAGGGTTCCTGCTATTACTCTTAGCCTTTTATATGTTCCTAAACTACCTAGCAGGGAAGGATAGAGATATGTAACTTTACCAAAACCTAAAATGAAGACTGATCGAGTCTTCAATTTTTTTTTTTTTTTTTTTACTATATCTTACTTAACAAATTGTAACAAAACAGTAGCACTGTTTCATAAATTTCACCTAAAATCCCACCGGTAATCTCACTAAAACATCTGACTAATCTACATTCTTATCTTTATTACCATAATAAAGGCATCACTAAATGGTTGTTAGTTAAAAGTTTCTCCAAAACTTTTACATAATTTTACATATCATTTTTGTAAATGCCTCAGACTAAACATGAAAACACTGAACTTGCTCTCTACATACCCTCATACCAAATAAGAAATCTGTTCTCAGAAAATCCAAACCTTTAAGAAATGAAATATGAAGTCACGTGATCAATGCAGCCTTATTTACAAATAAAAAAAAAGAGAACCTAACAAAACGTCCAAAAGTAAGGGGATGTTTAAATAAATCATGTTATATTCATACAACAAAATATTCTGTAGCCATTAAAATGTACTCCTGTGACAATAATCTGTTAACATGAAAAATATCTTATTAAGTGAAAAAAATAATCAAGTTAAAATCAGGTACATGGTGTTCTTATGTAAACTATATAAATGATCAAGGGAACAAGCTGGAAGGAATATGCCATAAACAAACTGTAAACATCAGTGGCAGGATTACTGATGCTAAATTTTCTTCTCTCCACTTGCCAAATTCTCTGAAAGTGTTTCCATCACTAACGTATTCTAAAAGACGGTAATGTTTAAAACAAGGTAGGCCACTATTTTTGGTATCCACAGTTGGTTAAACATGGGGCTGGTGGTTAAACATGGGGCTCTGGAGACAGAGGTACTCGGGCTCATGTTGTCAGGAGGCCAAGGTGCTTAAATTCACCAAGTTTCAGTTCCTGGTAAATTGGGATGATCTAAGCGACTACACGGCGTACTGTGAGAATTAAATCAGATATAAAAGCATGTGGAATGATGCCTGCAACGTAGTGAGTACTCGATACACATAAGGTCTCTGTTAGTTTTGAATTCCAAAACATTTTTGAACACCAGTGACCTAGATCCTGGAGGTATGACGATGAATTGGACATCCTCGAGGAATTCACAGTCTACTGAGAGGATAAACATAAACACAAATACTTTTCAAAGATGGTAAGAAATAGAGGTATGTAGTAGGTATGAAGGGTACCTCACATAGAACCAGGAAATTGATAACAGTTGAGCAGAGTTGTTGCCACTGGTTTCTAAGTTTTGTTGAGGTATAATGAACATACTTCCAACTGAGTATATTTAAAGGATACAATTTGATAAGCTTTGACATGTTTATTCCTGAGAAAACATCACCACAATCAAGATAATAAGCATTATCAGTCATCCCTCCTTCCTCTGGGCAATCCCTTTCTTCTGCCTCTCCCTGCCTCCCCTACCATTAACCATTACCTTTACCATTACGTCCCTTACCATTAACAAGTTGGCCCTGTAACCAATGATCTGTTTTCCATCGTTAGGAATTAGTTTAATTTTTAATAAGTTTACTTAAATATAATTATATAGTATGTGCTCTTTAGTCCCGCTTCTTTCGCTCAGCAAAATTATGTTGAGATTCATGCAATGTAGCGTATATCAATACTTCATTCCTTTTTATGGCCTAATAGTATTCCATGTGTTAATATCATGGTTTCTTTATCCACTCATCTCTTGGACATTTGGGTTATTTCTAGGTGTGGGATATCACAAATAAGGTTGTTATGAACAAAGTTGTTATGCACAAGTCTTTGTATTGATATTTGTTTTCATTTGTCTTGGGA